TTTCTTGGTGCCAGCCTGCACCTCCAAACTTACCGCTCCCAGGGGCCATGTCGGCGTTCCATTGAACCCGACCATTGGACCATTGGATTGTTCCAGATCATCTTGGTGAAGGCCAAGCTCCTTGTAACACCTGACATACATGATGTCACAAGAGCTTCCCTGGTTGATCATAATTCGTTTTACCTGGCACTCCCCAATCTGGAAGGATATTACCAAGGCATCATTGTGTGGATGTTGCACCATCTCTAGGTCGTCTTCAATAAAGGACACCATTGGTCCCTGGCACTCGTCTGCCCTAGGTCTTTTCTGTCGGACCTGATACACATGCTGTAAGTGTTTTACTTTTTGAGTTTCTCCACGTACTTCGTTCTCATTGACCTTTGAGTGAATCACATTGATCACTTGAGGTCTGCCTACTTGCGGTTGCGGTGTTAGTGGAGGTGGTGCTGCCAGTGCCTGAGGCAGTCTTGCTTGTTCCTCTCTTGTCCTGGCTTCATCTACCAGGTCCCTTAGATGACCTTGTCTTACCAAGTCTTCCAGATGTGCCTTTAGGGCTCTGCACCCTTGAGTTAGATGTCAATCCTCATCGTGGTAGGCACAGTGTTTCCCCAGACTTCTTCCCATAAATTCACCAAGAATCTTCTCTGGTGTTCTATAATAGAGCTGATTCCGAATTCTTTCCAAGACTTTGTAAACCGAAATTCAGAATACGATTGTGACTGCATGGGCAACCCTTAGTCCGGTCTCCTACTTATTGTATCCACTATTACCTCGGCCTCGCTTCGGCGAGCCATTTCTCTTCTCTTGTTTTGATGTCTTTGTTCCCGACGTGTCCTCCTCGGCCCTGGCATACTTTTCTATCCTGGCTATAAGTTCCTCCATACTTTTTGACAATGTCTTTGCTAGTGATTTTCGAAGCAGACAATCATCTTTTAGGCCGTTCTTAAAAGACACGACCGCCACCTCTTGGTTGCACCCTGGTATTCGGTTGAACACCTTGTAATACCTTTTGGCATAGGCCCTAAGGCTTTCATCCTCGCCAATTCTTAGAGCCATCAGGGAGTCCACTCTCAACGGCTGTAGTTTGTTTGTCACAAACCTAGCCATGAACATCTCGACCAGGCCTTCCCAGCTTTTCACAGTTCCTTTCGGCAACTTGTGAAACCAGTCTGATGCGATTTTCCCAAAGAATGAGGGAAACACTTTCCAGAGCAACGACTCGTTCCCGGTGTACAGTGCCATTGAGTTCAGGTATAAGCCGACGTGAAAGTTAGGGTCCAACTTATCGTCGTATATTTAGAATCTCGGCATGTGGAACCTCTTCGGGGCTTTGAATTTATTCAGTTCTACCGAAAACGGCGTTCTCGGCTTGACCGGAGAGGTTACCTCGGCATCTTGTCGCTTCCTCTGGAGGTAATCCCTCAGATTCTCCTTGGTCCGTCCAGGAGCTCGGCTATCAACAGATTTCATTCTTTTTGGTGCGCTACTCCTGGTGTCGTTGCGAGTCCTCTTGGATCTCTCTCCAGTAGTTGCGTCGAAACGAAGTTCCTTCTCTTGAACATGTCGATGTTCTTTGGGGTCAGCTTCTTTGTACGATGTGTCCTCCGAGAATCTCCCTTTATTGACTCTCCTCGCCCGACCTCCCTTGAAGGCCGGTGAGAGTGTTCCTTGGTCCTGGTGTGTTAGGGGACTGTAGAGACTATTTTCTGCCCCCCTTTCTGGGCATTGTTCTTGGCCGCTGGAATTGGTGTGTCTTGTAACGGAAACAGTGGCTGCATGACGTTGTTCTGTATCATAAAATTGAAGACTGATTGCAGGTCCACCAATTTAGTCGCCATTCTCTTCATCTCGCCATCCCTTCGCAGGCATCTATCTTTCCATACCCGAAGGTCGTCCTCGTTATAATACCTACCTCGGTCTGACTTCTTTGGTACGTCGCCCTCCTGGCTGATGTCTTTCTCTTCGGGATTCTGATCCCAAGTTTTTTCCTTGCATTTATCCTCTTCTACGTTAGGATTAAAGTGTTTACCACTTCTAGTAGGGATGTTATCCCCGATCTTCTCTTTCTATCCATCGTTGGCTATCTATTTTCCTTTCTTTCCCACAGGTGGCGCCAAATTGTGTGTGCTGTTTCTGACCAACAGGTACTCAGCTGGAGAACACCGGCAGAATTAGGGGTGGACAACGGTTTATCCGAACTGCTCAAACCGCCAAATCCGCCTAACCCGCATATAAATGGGTGGTTTCGCAAACATAATGCGGGCGGATGCGGTTTGAAATATGACAAATTTGCGGGTTGCGGGCAGGTCGTGGGTTAAACCCGCAACCTACAAAAACCGCCCGCACTTTAATTATTATTATTAATTGTTTTTTATATATACCAACTTTGTAACTTTAACAGGAGCACCATTATGTTCACTATGACACTAGGATTGTTATTTTTAAGTATTTCTCAACTTTCGCTATTATCAAGTCCTAAATTTGGTTTTTTATATGATTTTTATTGGTGACTCATCTATTTTTTCCTAATAAAATTTTCCTTCTGGTGGTCGATGGAACTTCTAGTTTGATTATTGATTACTGAACTGACAATTTTAATTGAGTACAACCTTTAATGAATTGATATACATTTTTTAATGCATTGATATACATTTTTTTCATGACAAAAATGCTAGTGTATGATCTCTTTGTTTTGGGTACTTTCATTTAATGCATTGATATTCAATTTTTATTTGTAAACTCATCAGAAAATTGTTGTCAAATGATCACAAATATATAAAATGAATCTGATGCCTAAATTCGATGGGGAAAAAAAAACTCAAAAATTAATTTTTAAAGAAAAAAGTGTAAACCACAAACCGCCTGTAACCGCCCGCACATCTGCAAACCCTACCCGCACAAACTGTAAACCGCACTGCGGGCGGTTACAGGTTGACTTTTTCCCAAACCGCATAGATGCGGGCGTGTTAAAACCGAACCGCAAACCGCACAAAACCGATCCACGAACACCCCTAGGCAGAATAGATTGCGCCTGAATGACCTGTCACAGAAAGATAAGACTCTGGCGGTGGTTCGTCCACCCGGGGGCACTCCGACGATCAAGTCAATACTCAGTTATCTCTCAAAGATAATAATTAGTGCTTAACTCACTAGGCAGAATACAAAAAACGTACCTTAGACCCACGAGGGTGCCTTACTTTTATAGCCAACACTGACCTGATCCTTGTAGAAGCCTAGTTTCAATGGACTTTGGCTCAATGCTTATCCTGGACTCTCAAATAGATCTATTGACCCATGTTCTGATTGTCACTCTGGGTCAATAGATCGGGCCACAAAGTAACCAAACAGAGGCCAATGGTTATTTAAGTCCCCCAAGGCGTGGGACTCTCGTGGTGGTACTTACAAAACGTAATTGTATATAAGGTCATAGCTAAATATTCTTTAAAAGTAAAACAAACAAATCTATGAATTTTCTTTTAAACAAAATAGGGTTCAAAAAATATTCCATTTAACTGAAACCTTTAGAAAACATAACTTTTATTAATATATCAATAAAATATAACTAAATACCTCACTCTTTCTTTATCTCACTTTTTCTTTCCACTACTAAAGACCCTTTCAACTTTCATTATTTTTTTTTCTCTTCTCTTCCTCCCTTTTCTTTCCTGTCTCTTCTTTTTCCTTCTTTCTTTCCTGATCTTCTTTTTTGATCTTTGCTCCCTTATATAGAAGGGCAGCCGTGGGCACCAAGCCACGGACTGCCACGTGTCGCGTTGCCATCAAACCTATTAATTCAAGCCTATCTCCAACTTATTTAATGGATAACTTAATTATTTATTTATATTTTGACTCTTAAACTCTTAATAATTATATTATTTTACAAAATAATACATAATAATATATAATAAATTATATATTTTTCTAATTATGATTAAATAATATTAGTATAAATTTTACAGAATAATTAAAAATCTGAATTGTTACATAAAGTATATCTAAAAAAATTAAAAATTTACTTAAAATTTAAAAAATATTCACTAAAAACAAAAAACATAAAAAACAAAAAACTCAATTTTTAAAAAATTGAATTCAGAAAACTAAAACCAAACACACTAATTAGTTTTTTTTTTTGTGTGTAGTTTTTTGCAATTTGAAAGTTGATATTTTAAAATTTTAAAAATCAAAATAAATGTCAAATCGTTATATTTTTTTTTATAAATAATCATAAATAATAAACAATCATTATTTGAAGGCAATTCCTACTATTAAAAATTTAATAGGATTTGAAGATCTAAAAAATCTTAATTAAAAAGCCACGTTTGGCAATATTACTTTTTAGTCTAAAAGTTAAAAAATCACTAAAAAATCAAAAAATCAACAATCTATACCAAAAATTAAAAATTCTATTTTTTACACATCTTTTTATAAAAAATTAAAATTTACTAAAAAGACTTACTCTCAAATGAGATCTTAATAAAATATAAATTGATAAATTAAAACTTATCTTAGATGTAAATGTCCCTTTTAAAAAAACTAAACCCAGGTCCCAGGCAGTTGAATCATATGGTCCGGTCCAATCTAATTCAATCCAATCCTTTCCCCGATTTGAAAGTAACCGGACGCTTTTCTCTGTTTTTACATTGAAAAGCCCAATAAGCCCAACAACAACCCCTCACTCAGTGGCACCAAAATCATGAAGAAAGAAACAAATGGAGGGTCCACAAAACTAATCATCCAAAAAAGAGTGGGGTCCCACATTCCAACACCGTTACCACTCTCCCCTCTCTCTCTTTTCTTTCCAAACAGAACCAAGAAAAAAAGAAGAAAAATGTTTGGGAGTACTAATTAGTGCTCCCACTAATTAGGTGGCAGTGGGTCCCGTCATGAATGATGTGATGTTTTAGTCTTGGAGTTGTAATTTTTTTTTATTTTTTTTATTTTTTTAATGTATTAGTGCTATTAGTGGTGATGTTTTTAGTGGGATGAATCATTGTTGAAAAAAAGAAAGCCTTGAAAGGAATGCGCACTGCACCTCTCTCTCTCTCTCTCTCTCCTCCCCTCCTATTGTTATCCTATAAAGTCGCCGTCATCGTCAAAACCGACACCCCATCTCTCTCTCTCTCTGTCTCTCAGCGGTCTGAGTCTCCAACGTTCGAAAAAAGCCCCAATTCCTCTTTAAACCTCTACACAAAGCTTCTCCTCCTGCCCACGCGCCGCCCATCACCACCGCCATTATCTCTCTCTCAAAAGCAGAGTGATCCAAATCCAACCTCTTGGCTTTTTGGTTATTTTTTTTTTAATTTTATCTCTCTCTCTAACAACCCCCAAACCGAGATCTGAAGAAAGAAAGTGGGGGAGGAACTTTATGAATCCGAAAGCTCTGGACCGAAGATGGGCGGAATCACGTCTTCGATTGCCGCTAAGTTCGCCTTCTTCCCTCCCAGCCCTCCCTCTTACACGCTGATCATCGACGATTCCTGCGCCGGCCGATTCTACATACCGGAGGTCCCTAGGAGGGACGACGTCGACTTTTTGAGGCTTCGGACTCGACGAGGCAACGAAATCGTGGCCGTCCATATCAAGCATCCTAAGGCCACTGCTACTCTTCTCTACTCCCACGGTAATGCCGCTGATTTGGGTCAGATGTTCGAGCTCTTCGTTGAGATGAGCCTCCGTCTTCGCATCAATCTCATGGGGTAATCATCATTATTTGCTCTTCATTTCTTTTCTTCTTTTTTTTCTATTTATATTATTTATTATTTTCAGCTCTAAACTTCGATTTTTTACCCCCCTCATTTGTTTGCTTTAATTTGCTTATTTGTATTTAAGAATTGAGGAACTTTGTGGGTTTTGCTTTATTTGTTGAGTTGGCTATATGTGGAAAATGGGTTTGTGTTTTAAATTTCAGAATCTAATGAGTTAGATTAGAACAATAAGGGACTTCAACTTGATAATTAGGACCGTTTTCTGTTTGGTTACTGTGTAGTGTGCGCTAAATACATGTTTTTTTATTATAAAAAAAATGAATATAATTGGCATCCACTTTAATTTGAATGGATTTGATTTGATCTTTCAAATAGAGTTTGACATCAAAGGTGAATTACTGCATTTCGTACGTTGCCATCCTTTTCTATTTTTACAATTGGATGCGGTCAAACCAAAATGTGTGCTGGCTTGCTGACATAGACTAATTTCAGGTTACAACTTCTTTAGCAGATGACTATCCTCCTATTCAAGATTAGAGGGGATTTTTTTAACATTGCAACAATGTGTGAAAAGTTAGGTGTTCTAAGAAGCCCTTAATGTATAAATAGCTATTAGCTAGTGAATTCAAACACCCTTTACAACTTTATTTTGGCGTGTCAAAATGGAGACAAATTCACTTACCCAAACATGGTTTATCAAGAATCAAGCTAGTTTAAGGTTTATAGGAATAGATATTAATGTCAACTTTTAATTTGAAGTCTTATCGGATTTTTTCACATCTTATGATTAAGGAATGGTTATTTGAAGTCTTACCTGACGTGCATGCTTCTGAAAAGGAATATATGGCTAGTGCATTTTCAAAATGATGATAGGAAGCTAGTCATACGCCTACACAAGTTTAATTAACCAATGTACTCAAATTTACCTGTGTTATACAACATTATACACATTCCTTCTTTAATTTATGTAGCAATTAACATCCTAGGTAATGTTGTTTAGAGAATGATTTTGTCCCTTTTCTAACATTTCCCTCCTTGAAGGTCATAGTCCACTTCAATCCTTGTTGCTGCCCAATTTTCCTAACGAATTATTATGCTTTAAAGTTAGATCACCGCTTTGTCACATGCTTTTGCTTGTGTGGTGGATATGCCTTTTTTTTTGGCACATTATGTGATAATAATGTTGCATTCATGAGTCCCATCATCCAAAGTTGACACCATAAGTCAGTGTTGGGTTCATTCACACCTCTATTCCAGCTAGATTAGTTATGGCATATTAGTTCAGTCATTTTTATTTATTGCTCTAACTCTTACATAGTTGTTGCGTAGTGCTGCAATGTAAGCATCGCTGTTGGAAAAGGGGTTAAGTTAAGGTTTAATCCTTACTCTCTAGCAAAACCTAAAAAATAAACAAAAAAATTGATTGATGTCATAGGTTAACTTTACTGGTATTTGAAGAAAGGATAGTTTGGCATATGAGTATGAGTCCTGCATTTTGGGCCTAACACTATGACATGTTATTTTGTCTGTCCACTTGAAAAGACAATAATTATTATGTTTCTCTGTTTAGCCCCATCTAAGTCTGTATTCTCTACTATATTGTACTTATGTATTTAACCTTATCTGAGGCTGTAACCTGAATTATATGATCATAGGCAATCACGAAATAAAATTTAGCTTCTTTTTGTCAATATCCATTTTCCTAGAGAGGCAGAGTTAGACATTACCACACGATGGCATGTTCATGAATATAATTTGTCAAACAAGGTGTCCATTTGGTGGGTTACAGAATATTATGTTTCTCTATTTAGCCCCATCTACGACTGTATTCTCAACTATATTGTACTTATGTATATAACCTTATCTGGGGCTGTAACCTGAATTATATGATCATTGGCAATCACGAAAATAGAATTTAACTTCTTTTTGTCAATATCCATTCTCCTGGATACGCAGAGTTAGACATTACCACAATTGTTCATACGAGGTGTCCATTTGGTGGGTTACAGAAGGTTGTTTATCAACTTATTATTGATTACTGTAAGAAGGTAATATTTTTGCTACTTTTGGTCTCAGTTTACCTTTTCTACTTGGAGCATAATCACATAATGACCTCTAACCGGCAGAATTTATATTTTTCCATAATTTTATTTAGGATGAATTGCTACCTACTTTGCTTTTCCAAACTAACTGACTTACGCTTGAACATATGTTGCACGGTATAATGAAGAACATGCATGTGTGTCTGAATCTCTTGTATGACATTTTATGTGCGTTTTTGTTTCTAATATTCTTATTGCTGCATACCCCTGCAATCATTCAATATCTTGCTGCTGATTAGAAATGCCAGAGGCCCAGAAGTAACTCAAGTGCTTTTTATCATTTTCCGTTTCCTTTTAATTTATTTATAGATTTAACTCTTTCAAGGATATTCCTTTATGATTAGTTTCTTGATAATTTAATTATTTCCCTGATTCATCTATATTTGTTTCTCCTTTTCAGGTATGATTATTCTGGCTATGGACAGTCAACTGGAAAGGTTGGGTGCTGAGCTTCTCAGTTTGTAACATAAATGTTTGTTTTTGCTTATATTACTTTCTTAGGAATGGAGATAATTTTTGTGTTTGCAATTCTATATCTCCTTATTGGTATCTTGCACTCCATTTAACTGTTTAGTTATCCTTCTTTAGAGAGCCTTAGCATTAACTTTAATGCTTTTCACACCTTTCACATTGTTCAGGGATTGTTTTCTGGTGTGATTAACAGCGACACCCTTCCTTAAAGGGGGTGTTTATAGGGGCGGGGATCCTTATTAACCGTCCCGATCAGGTTTATAAATTTTATGCCTGACCCCAACCCTAATACAAAAAAATGGTGGGAATCTGCTACGCCTAACAGCAGCAGTATTGCAACCATTTTACAAAATACTCAGTCAGGTTTTTAGAGTTTAGAATAACTGCAACCATTTTACTTATTTATTTATTTCTTCCTTTTTGTTGGTGCCTCGATATGATTAGGTATCATAAACAGGATTCTAACTTCATAGCATGTCTAGCCAGAAAAAGATCCTGTTGTTGCCTTCAATGCTTCGACTGTTGACATCTTTTGGGATCACTTAAATGGGATAATTCTCTTCACTGTTCCCCATTGCTCATTATATAACTTCCATTTTTTTTTTCCTTTGAAACAGCCATCTGAATGTAATACATATGCAGACATTGATGCAGTGTATAAATGCCTTAAGGAGCAGTATGGGGTTCAAGATGAACAATTAATAGTATATGGTCAATCTGTTGGTAGTGGTCCAACCATTGATCTTGCTTCCCGTGTACCAAATTTGAGAGGTGTAGTTCTACATAGTCCAATCCTCTCTGGGCTGAGGGTATTATACCCTGCTAAGAGAACTTATTGGTTCGATATTTTCAAGGTAATATCATACTTGTTCTCTATTTTAGGTGCCCATCATATTTGGTTGATGAAAGCTTAGTTCTTTTTCTTCATTTCAGAATATTGACAAAATTGGTATGGTGAACTGTCCTGTTCTTGTAATCCATGTAAGTATTATTGCCCATTCTTTCTATTTCTGTCTTTCTTTGCCATTCTCTTTATCAATATGCTATATGAATATTATCAACTTTGGGAAGTGATACTTCATTGTCACTTGTATTACTTTGGTGTAAATTTTTTTTTAAACAGGTCCAAACTTCCAGCTTGTAATCATTGAGAGATGTGCATTGATCATTGTTAACTTCATACTGGAGTGAATCTTTGTCATTTTAGCGATTATTGATGTTGCACTCGGAGTAGATGAGCGACATTGATACACAACAACTATTTGACATTTCAGTGAAGCAAGCAAGTAGTTAACTACAAAATTTTTATATTTTAATAACATTGACACTAGTTTTCTATATGTTGATTAGTTGGAGAGTAGTCAAATAGAATAGAGATACATGTGGTTAGTTAAGCAAGTGACTGGCAAAAATATCTACATGGGATTGGATATTAAATAATAAAATTATGAATGTTTGTGATGTAGGACGAGTAGGGATTACTTTCCTACAAGTAATGAGCCCAGTTTAAATATGCTGGCAGCAGCAAAAATAGACTTATAGGGCTGGATTTGGCGGGATTTTGTGACTACAAAAGTAATTAAAAAATAGAAGTAGGGTTTATAGAAGGGTAGGGTTTTGGGAATGAAAACACGAGTGTTTAGTGGCTATCGGGTGGCTGTTCTAAGCATTGTGAACAGTGACGTGAACAGTAATCTTGCTGGATAGAAGAAGAGGGGAGAGAGAGAGAGAGAGAGAGAGAGAGAGAGAGAGGTGCTTCACCCTCACAAAAGAGATAGGCTAATCCAGTGTTTTAAAAAGCTCTAGGCGCATCGAGGCGCCAAGGTCATCTGGAGCCTAAGCGCCGAGGCGCGAGGCGAGGCGAGGCGCGCGTCTCACCAAAGCGAGGCGCAAGTTATAGAAGTTAAGCAAAATGTTAATATAGTACAATTTTCAACATAAGCAAATATTTAATATGTATATTATTAATTTTTTTTAATAAGAAGAGAAGAGAAGAAGAAAAAAAAAAATTAATTTTTTTAATATATATAGTATTTTATTTATTTCTTAAATTTTAAAATTTTTTTTATAAATATTTTTATTTTGAAACATATATATAATTTATTTTAAAACATATATATAATTTATAAAGGTATATATATAATATATAAATAAAAACATATCATATATATAAATATAATTTATAAAAACATAAATAAAAATATATAATAAAAATAAAAAATAAAAAATAAAAAGTTATAATAATATAATATAAATTATAATTTATACTATACATATATCTATACATATATACAGAACCAGAGTCGAAGAGAGAGAGAGAAGAGAGAAACAGGCAAAGTGAGAGAGAGAGAAGGCGAAGGCGAAGGTCGATGGAGGTCGTCGGAGCTCGTCGAAGGTCGATCGAAGCTCGTAGACAGAGAGAGAGAGAGAGAGAGAGAGAGAGATTGCGATTGCGATTGTGATCGCGAGAGAGAAGGCGACAGAGAGAGAGCAATCGTGGCCCTTCGTCATTGTCTTCTTCTTCTACACTAGGTTTTTTTTTTTTTCCCCTGCTCTTTTGACCCACGTTTTGATCATTTGATATTGTAAATGAAAATTTATTCCATGTGGGTATTCACACCAAAACCAGATGGGCTGTAGCAGTAGAAGAAACGTGAAGCGCCAAAAGCGCACGCCTTGAGCCTCAGAAAAAAGCGCATGCCTTATCGCCTTAGCTGTGCCTCCTCTATGTCGCGTCGCCTCGCTATGCATGAGGCGCAGAGCTGCGCCGCGCCTCGCCTCGCCTCGCCTTGAGCTTAGGCGCGCTTGTCAAAACACTGGGTTAATCACACAAACACAATCTCAAATTTTCATAATATTAACTTTGCTATCGAATCATTGAGATATTGCACATATTTATAGACTAAAGACTCCTAATTCTATAAGGACTATTTTTCAAATTTAGAAACTAAAAATATTTAGCAACTATTAATATTCTAGACCAATTATGACTTCCAATTCTACTTCAATCATAATAGGAAACTTTAATGACTTTTAATTCTACTTCAATATCAAAATAGGAAATTAGGACTTTTAACCATTAAGATTATTTTAGACATAATAAAAACCATATATAATAACCCATTTATTAACTTGACCCAAAGTAAAACTTATGAGTGACCCCTACAATCCATGTCCAACAATTATTGGAATTATCATTATACCCTTAATTACTAAAACTTACTATAATGACATGAAAACTCAAAATTATTCTAAATCTTTAATTCTTAATGCCCTAAATGTGTTTCATGTGAAATTTCAGATTTACTTTTTTCTTCTTTCCGTGATCTTCATCAGTTTGTTATTTCTTTTTCCTTTTAAGAAAATTACATTTTACATCCGTGCACCGTATCTCAAATCTCACTTGGATTCTACACTTTGAATTGTGACAAATAAAAGCCTGCGCTTTAGTCAAGTTACAATGTCAACCCTCCTTCAATGACTGCAGTTAAGTTTGACAAAGATTACATATGCTGCTGTCACACTACCTGATTTGGTAGCACTTTAATCCTCCAAGTTTTTCTCAAGATTCACTTTAGGCCCTGAGTTTTGATTTTATCAATCAATTTTTGATTCACTTAGCAATCACATGGTCACTTTCTTCTAAATGGAGGTTGACATTAGAACTTGACCAAAACTACATAGTTTTATTTGTCACAAACAAACATTGCATGGACCAGAGTCAATTTGAGATAAAATGCAGGGATGAATAATACAATTTACCCTTATATGTTTCGTTTCCGTGACTACATTACAAATTATTGGGTCTCCATTTGACTCTGGAAATTTTATTGGGAATAAGTGAAAACTCGTTCCTTACTAATACTAATACTAATAATAATAAAAAAGAAACAGTTGATCACATCTCTAACACCAGCTTGTTGGATAGTAAGTTTAATGGTTCTGTTGAGGGAATTCGGTGATGAACTTGCTCTATTTCTATCTGCAGGGGACAGCAGATGAAGTTGTTGATTGTTCCCATGGAAAACAGCTTTGGGAGCTTTGCAATCAAAAGTATGAACCCTTGTGGCTAAATGGGGGTGGACATTGCAATCTCGAGCTTTATCCAGAGTTCATTAAACATCTGAAGAAATTTGTACTGTCGCTTAACAAATCAAAAGCAACCACAAATGGTTCCAAGAAAACAACAGTAGACACTGAGAATCAGACCAAGCCATCTGAAACTGGTCCTTCAGATACATTTGAGTTACACCCTGATCCTCCTGAAATTTCTAGAAACAGTTTAGATAGTCGACTAGAGAAATCTAAGAAGTCAAACAAGCCTGAAAAATCCCGGATGAGCACTGACCATGTTGACAGGTTTAGGAGGAGAAAGGGCTTAGTTTGGTGATCACTTGTGTTAGGAGCATCTTAAAATAAGTTGGGCCCGGATTTCCCACGCAAGAAGGTAAATTATTCAATTATAATAGTGTTTCCTGTATCCAAATGTATCAACTCTAGTTTCAGACTACTATATTGAGTGTGTTTCATAAAACAGTTCAAGATAAATCAGAAAAGTAGGTGAATTTTTCTTTATCTTTATTTTGTGCTCTCTTTTTCTCCCTGTAATATCAATATCCTTGTTTGAATATGAAAAGAAAAAAATAAAAAAGTTGTTGCAGCAATTATGACATTCCATAAATACTGTACTTCTAATTAATCCCTGCATTCTATCAGTGGGCATAGGAAACTTGGCATCCACCGTGGGTAGAAAAATTAAGCGAGATTGGTGATGCTTGTTTTTGAAATGATCATTTACTGTTTCTATTTTTTTTTTCCTTTTTAATTTTTTTTTGTTACATTGGAAAGTTAAAGAAACAGAACACAAAACAAGTAAAATGAGACAGTTGCATCTAGGCACAATCTTGGTCGCATATGATTGTAGCATATAATTTATAATTGGAGAAGCATGTGTAATTGGAAAAAAAATTTGTAGAAGTCGAAAGATATGAACTCAAAAAGTCCTTGTCATTATTGTTGATGGACTCCTTGAGCGTGAGGAGGTGTTCTAGTTTCAGCGTGCTCGAACAAACTGGATACGGGATGGGGATCGTAATACGTCTTTTTTTCACGCTAAGGCTTCCCAACGGCACAAGAAGAAGCGTATTTTGGGTTTGGAAGATGCTCACGGACAATGGTGTGTTAAGGATTCTGATTTACGGAGCATTGCCGTAGATTATTTTCAGCAATTATTTACATCCCATGTGCAGAGGGAAATGGACGGAGTTCTTGAGGCAATCACATCTCGGGTTCCGCCTGCTGTGGGTTCACATTTAGATCGACAATTTTCTGCTGATGAGGTATGGTAGGCTTTACATCAGATGCATCCTACCAAAGCTCCTGGTCCCGATGGGAAACATGCACTTTTCTACCAGCGTTTTTGGCCGGTAGTGGGAGTTCATGTGACCCAAGCGGTTCTAGGCATCTTGAATGGATCTGATGACGTGGGGTTGATCAATGATACGTTTATAGTCCTCATTCCGAAGGTAAAAGAGGTGCGTCGAATGGCGGAGTTTCGGCCAATTAGCCTATGTAATGTGATCTACAAAGTTGTGAGCAAAGTGTTGGCAAATCGATTGAAGATGGTGCTACCTTCTGTGATATCCCTAAATTAGAGTGCTTTTATTGGGGGCCGTTTGATTAGTGACAATGTTTTGACGGCTTTTGAGATGTTTCATTTCATGAAAAATAAACGGCATGGCAAGGAGGGATGCTTTGCGCTCAAACTTGACATGAGCAAAGCCTATGACTGTGTTGAATGGGAGGTTTCTTAAAGGGGTTATGGAGCACATGGGTATGCCATATCGATTTATCGATCTTATCATGAGATGAATTTCAACGGTGTCTTACTCCGTTTTGATTAATGGACAGTCGACTGTTGAGTTTCGTCCGACGAGGGGCCTTCGCCAAGGGGACCCGTTGTCGCCTTACTTGTTTGTGTTGTGTGTTGAGGGTTTGTCGGCATTAATTACAAGGGCAGAGACAAGTCATCGTCTTACTGGTATGGCCATTTGCCGAGGGGGACCTCGCATTTCTCATTTATTTTTCGCTGATGATAGTTTGCTCTTTGGAGTGGCCAAACCAGAGGAGATTTTAGTTATTCAGGGGTTATTGCTGGAGTATGAGGGGGCATCTGGGCAAAAAATTAATCTTGACAAATCAACCATCTTCTTCAGTGCTAATGTGGATGCTGGGCGTAAGGAGGCTCTGCGACAAATTTTAAATGTAGGCAGTATGGTTGAATCAGGTAAATACTTGGGTCTACCGTACCTTCTTGGTAGGTCCAAGAAAGAGGTGTTCACTTTTATCAAGGACAGAGTTTGGAAACGGATTAGTAGTTGGAAGGAAAAATTTCTTTCGGTGACGGGAAGAGAGGTTATGATAAAAGCTGTTATTCAATCCATCCCTACTTATGTTATGTCTTGTTTCCAGCTTCCAACAACTTTTTGTGCTAAGATTGATTCCATGGTGTGTCGTTATTGGTGGGGACCAAGTGGAAATAAGAGGAAAATTCATTGGACCTCATGGGAAGCTTTGTGTCACCCGAAATGGGAGGGAGGAATGGGCTTCCGTCGGTTGGCGAATTTTAACAGTGCTATGTTGGCCAAACAGGGATGGCGCCTTCTCACGTCCCATGACTCTTTATTTGCTCGGTTGATGCAGGCCAAGTATTATCCGAGCTCGACATTTTTGGAGGCTGAGTTGGGGTGCAATCCCTCTTTCACATGGCAGAGTATTTTTAACTCTCGCCCTCTTTTGATGGCTGGGTTACGGTGGCGAATTGGCGATGGGCACACTGTTAAAATTTGGGGTGATAGGCGGTTGCCTAGGGGTTATTCTTTTCTTCCCATTTCTCCTCATTCTCTTCCTAATGTTACCAGGGTGAGCTTTTTGATAGATTCAGACCGAAAGTGTTGGGACTTGGGAAAGCTACAGACCTATTTCCTCGCAGCTGATGTGGAAGTGATTCGGAAAATTCCTATTAGCCCTTACCTGCCTTCTGACATATTGATTTGGCATTATACTTGAGATGGGAGATTTTCGGTTCGGTCGGCTTATCATTTACAAATGACTCAGTCTAGGATTGGGATATATTCGGAATCGTCCAATATAAGAGAAGCCAAATGGCGTTTTTGGAAAGGGGTTTGGCATTTAAAAATTCCGAATAAGATCAAGGCCTTTGCATGGAAGACATGTTTGAATATTATCCCAACCCAGGACCGGTTATGGCAACATCGCGTGCCTGTGGAACTTGGGTGTGACTGCTGCGATGCAGTTGTGGAGACTTTAGTGCACTGTGTTAAGGAATGTGAAGTGGCGCAATAGGTTTGGGCTGCTAGTCCTTTGGCTTTCGTTATCGATGTTGGGGTGGGCTATGATTTTTATCAGTGAGTGCTTGAGATTGAGAAACAAGTTGATGCAGCAGGATTGGGGTTGTTCTTTGCGCTGTGTTGGGGGTTATGGATTGCTCGTAACCAAGCTATATTTAATAATATTAAGCGGGTTGCGCCGGTGATTGTCCAGCGAGTGTGTGCCTATCTACAAGAATTTTGTCAAGTCAGAGCCCTCGTTCAAGGTCTTCGGGTCTGTCCTAATCCATCACGATGGAGGCCACCGTCAATGGGTGTAGTCAAGATTAATTTCGATGCGGCAACCTTTGCTGATCTGGAGGCCATTGGGGTGGGTGTGATTGTTCGGGAGGCTCGTGGAAAAGTTATTGCAGCCATGTCGGAGAGACTTCCACATTGAGTTGATGCGGATTGTGCTGAAGCTCTAGCCGCAGCAAGCGCGATTGCATTTGGGGCAGAATTGGGCCTAAGCCATATTCATTTAGAAGGGGACTCGTTATCTGTTATTAAAGCCTTCTGCTGTGAGGATCAAGTGCTGTCCTGTTTTGGCCATATTATCCAAGGTGCTGTGTGTACAAGCCGCTGCTTCACCAGTTTTTGTTGTTCGCATGTGTTGCGTAGTGGGAACAAAGTTGCCCATGGGCTGGCTCGTCTGGCGGGACATGTGCTCGGCAAACGAATTTGGCAGAATGAGGTGCCACCTGAATTTTGCAGGATAATTAGTGATGAGGCTGTTTTAGCTTCTTAAATTGTATTGCTTTCTAAAAAAAAAAAAAAAAATGTATTTATTATGTTAGATTTCTTTTTCTTCTAGCCTTTGGAAAATCAAAAAAAGCTTACGGTTAGGTTTGATATTTTTTTGTCTGTATACATAAGTTGTAGTCTATAAATTGGCTTTGAAGCCAACGGAATATACAATGTAAATTCTCTCTACCTTTGTGCTTCCAACTTTGTCTCTAATTTTTCCATCATAATTTCATAATCCATAATTCTATAATAAAAATAGTAAAAAGTTCAATTCCTTTTTTGTGTTTGTAATTGGTATCAGAACTTGGTGAAAAGCTTTTGAAAGTAAGATCAAGCTATGTAAGTATTTATATCTATGTATAAATTTTGATATATATAAATGTGTATGGTGTGCTTTATGTTAAAAAAAAAAAAAATCGTTTAGGTTTTTAGTTGTGTATCCTTTGTATTTTGTATATTCATAATTATTTGTTTCATTTATAGTTGTTGTAAAACCTATATGCTTAGTATATGTCAAAACCCATATACTCATTAAAATCTTTTAACTATTAGCTATAATTAAGTCTTTAAGATCATAAAGAAATGTTTTAGGCACTAGATAATACACTAAGAGGGTCTTAGATACCAACAACAATCTATAATGGTAATTAACCCTGAAGATATAATATGCTTTGAAAATACAAAAAATACTATTAATAATAAATATGACTATAGTTTGCATATTACTAAAGAGTCTGCAAATATAAATAATATGTGTTCTAGTTTAAATAATATTATTGATATTATGTGTTCTTGGTTTTTTAAGTTAGATAAAAATCAAAAAATAAATCAAAATTATCTAGAAATCAAAGTTGAGTCTATAGAATCTAAAATAGACAATTTGGGTTCTATAATAAATATTGACTTAAATAAAGAAGCAAAAAATCAAATAAACAATTTGGTGACAAAATTAGAAACTATATCTTTCATAAACAATGATGAAATGAATAGTTCAGAAGATAATTATATTCCTATGCTATTTTATGGTACAGAAGATATTATGGTGTTTTAGACCAATACCTATAATAGGACTGAATATGAAACTATTGTTGAAATATAGAATTATTGGAGAAAATTATATAAAGACCCAGATTTAGGTAATGATGAAAGAAATAGGTTACTAGATCAGATAAGAAAAACTTATCTAGAAAATGAAGCCCTTTTACAGCACTTTAATTATGATATTAATATGTCAACTAATAATGATGATAGTTAATCATCCTCATCTGAAAAAACATTAGATCAAGATATTTCACCAGAAATAAATAAAGGAAAAAGAAAGGCAGATGAGCCAATTGATCCCGAATTATTTGGCACATGGGGAAATGGAGAAAATTTTGACTTTATTCAAACAAATGAAATTAAAAATGATACTAACGCTGGAAGTACCTCCAATCCTACGCCTGAGCCAGTAATATCTAGAAAAGATAATAATCATAAGTATTCAATAACTCAAAATGGTACTTATTTAGACTTGTATCATGTTCCATTTAGGGATCAGGAGCAAGCAATTGATGATTAGGTACAATCCTTGTCCATCATTATTACTAATTATAAAAATAGTTGGTTAAATGAAAAATTCATTGATTATATTGCAGTAACTCTCCAGGGAGATGTGTTGCAATGGTTTTAAGACAGTGGAAAAAATATGAAATTGGAAAAAGTCAAAAAACGACTTTGTTAACAAATTTTTCTCACACTTGACATAATTTTAGCTGAGTTTGCAAAAATCATAAAAGAAATTTATGTGGTTTTGCAAGAGATACTAATTTACAAGCGGATGCAAATTATATTTTAACTAAATTAGAATTATGTAATATTTGTTCTTTTGAAAACTATGTTCAAACTTTAAAAAAATATTATTATCTTATTGATCCACCAACAAATCAACCCTAACTAGATCAATTTTTAAATAAACTCCCTAATCCATGGGATGAGTTATGTATTAAAACATATCCAGATTTTCTCAAAAAAATGGGATGAAAGAATATGATAATCTTAGTTTTCGCATTAACTATATTTTAAGACTGATAGCAGATCGGTGTCTTGAAGCAAAGGCGAAAAAATAAGTAAAAAATCAAATTTTCAACTCACAATACGGTCAAAAATGTTGTGATAAAATTTTTAAAAAAAATTGAAAAATTGGTTGTAATACATTTTCTAAACAAAAATGCTTTTCCAAAAAACGCAAAAAATATAAATAGAAATCTTAGAAAAAGAACAAAACTTTTTCAAAAAAGAAAAAGTATCTTCGGAAAAAGAAACCAACAAGTGTTTCAAAAAAGAAAACTTGTAAATGTTACATTTGTAATGAAGAAGGTGACTATGCACCCGAATGCCGAAACAGGGGAAAAAATGCAAATAAAATGATCAAAGTTCTTGAAGAACAAGATTTTGAAATAATATATGGCGAAGAAATTTCTGATGAAGAAGAAATCTTATATGAAATTTCTAGTGATGAAAAAAGTTCAGATGAAGAACTAATCTTCATGATGACTAATAATAGTCAATAAATATCTCAAGAAGCAGATAGTATATCTCAAGAAGAATTACGGGCAATTCAACTTGGAGATGTAATCGGAGAAGAAAAAACTTTTACTGATGAAGAATTAGCAAAATTCGAAAAAATGCAAGAAGTTGCTGTTCCAGAAATTTATAAACTTTCACAATTCAACTTCTTTTCAACAAGAGTGTTTGAACAATACAGTGGTAACACTTAAGCAAAATGGTCGGAAGAAGGAAATATTGACATTCTTTTTTTTGACAAGAAAAAGGTTGTAAGATGGAAAAAGAAATATCTTGAAATTCAATATATTCATATTGGATTAATTCAAGTAACCATAACAACCTTATTTTGTCAAGGGATAGATACTCCTATTTTGACAGTAATTTTTAACAAAAGATTTTCCAACCCAATGAAAGCAATCATTGGAGGAATTCAATCTTATTTGGCTAATCGAGTAGTTTGGTTTAATGCTAGACCAAATTTATTTATTTCCATAAATGATCCTAATCTTGAACATATAGTCAGAATAAAAATTAAAACACAAGGATTAGGATTGAAATCAAATTCTCATGATTTGGCTATTTGTTGGAAAACAATTCACGAATTAACCAAGTTTCCTGAAACAAAAACAAGATCAAACGATAATAAAATCGTTGAAATCTTTGAACCAAGACCATTTGACACGGTAATGCAACCTCGTCTAATGAATTGGAGCGATTTAGAAGTCCCTCGACAATGGTTAATCCACGACTTAGTGGGACAAGGAGAATCTTCTAAAACAAAAAATCTTGCACAATTACAAAATGCAAGTATCAGGAACAAATTTATATATTGAAAATACAGTTTCAAAAATTAAAAGATCAACTTCTGTATTTGAAAAAGATTTTTCTAACAAATCATTTTCAAAATTAAGTATTGGAGAATCAAGTAATAATTCTAATAAAGAATCTATTATTTCAAACAATGTTCAGATTCCTATTTTCCTAAGAACAGGAAAATAACTTGAACATATTAAGTCTGCAAATATGTATCATTTTCAAATAAAAAATGATGATATTATTTTTTCTCCTAACCAAGGAAAAACAAGATATAAATATGTATTGGGAACATTTAATTTTGCAAGTTATAAATTCTATAGCCTCAGTGTTCTTATAGATACAGGAGTTACAGTCAGCTCATGTAAATGGAATGCCATACCAAAAGAAAAATGGACATTAATGGAACATCCAATTTTGGTTAATGAAATTGATGACAACCATACTTCCCTACAATTCAAGACTAAAAATATAGCTATTTGATTAAATGATAACAAGTTCATTATACCAAAAATTTTATGTTTTCCGTATATGCATGGAGATTTTCTCTTAAAAATAATTTTATCTATAAATACCTTTCAATACAAATACAAAAAAAAGTCATTTCATTAAAAATAAATAATATCTTAATTCGTATTTTATTATTAAAACAACATAAATATATTTGTGAGAAATAATTTACGCCCATTCCGCGTGGCGTTTTCTTAGATTTATGAGTATTAACTAGGTTGCTAGAGTGCAGGACTTTCAGTGTCTTTATGGGCAAATTTTAACTTATCCTATTTAAGAATGACTGGTAGGGTTGCAAGTTGCAACCGAACACACGAAAATATTTTTTTGAAGATATTTTATTTTATTTTTTTGTAAGAACATTTTCTACCAGCAATTTTATTTTTTTATTTTTTTGGTCAAAACAGAGTGTTAATGGTCATGTCATCAATAATAATACAGAAACTTCTTGTGATCATGTGAAAACAATGGTGTGCTTCTGGAAAAAAATAAAACATAAAACTTGACCTGGGTTGTTTTTTTTTTTTTTTTTTAAATCTCAAAGCTGATGAGATCAGAACATTTATACACCATTTTATTATTTTTAGAGAGGTCCGAGACTTGATTAGGATGAAGAAGAAAGAGGACCCTTCATCCAAGGAGCTGTGGGCATCTTAATAGCCGCATAGGAGCGCAAAATTGGCTCTGCTGATAACGAATAATCTGGGTTTGGAGATTGAATGGTGTAGGGGGTAGAAGTGGATGTGAGGGATTTGATCAGGGGAGTGGAGGGAGAGACTGATTTATTTAGGGCTTCTGAAAGAACTGGGGTTGAGGAGGGAGAGTGAAGTGGGAATGTAGGAGTGTGAAATTGGTTTAGAGATGTGAGGGAAATGGTGGGTGTTTGATGATGGAAAAGGTGGAGGAGAGAGAAAGATAGTGGCAGCCATGGATGATAGATAGTTAGCTCTCACTTCTCAACTCAGACTCAGAGCAAAGCAGAGGATGGTTTGGCCGTTTTTACAGTTTTATCTCTCTTCTTTTTGTTCATATCTTTTGTTTGGAAACAGAATTGATAAAGAATCCTATACACACCTCTTATCTTGGGCAAGATACTCTTTTCTCTTCCAAATTCTTATTTCTCCATGTATTTTTAATCAACAATGTTAGGTGTCATGAAAAATCTTTCATAAAAATAATCATGAAAACTTTGTGACCCTTGAATTACACTTAGAATAAAGCACTATACACTAATCAAGATAATCCAAGGATTATAAATCTTTCACGATCATTTGTATGAAAAAAATTTCATGATCCCTAACTTTTCCCATTTTTAATTTCTGATAATTGCATTGTTAGTTACAGCATCTTTTTTCCCACAATCCTCGTTGAGTGGTGGTAAAACAAAATGCATGTAATGAGAGTTTTGAGGGAGAGAATATATGATATGAGTCAACATTTTAAATTTTGCTTGTCACGTCATTAAAGGAATCGTGAGGGAAAGAAATTGTATGAATGAATCGTATTTTTTTAATTATAAGATTATTTAAAAATTTTGAAATATGGAAATTAATTAAAAAATTATTAGAACATAGGAAAAATCCTCCGCCCTATCATATAACATTACGTGTATGGCTGTGACCCAACAATTTTGAAGCAAAATGACTTTACTTGTAAGGTCATCTTCAATTATTTGATTGTTAAGATTAAACTTACTGTATGTTCATGAATTAATCCATTACAACAATTGAATATGAGGTGACAAAATGGTCTGCCAACCCGAAAATTCTCTTATTTTCTTTTCTACTTAAGGACATAATACATAATACACAGTTTACAAGCTTAAAGGTATTATGAAAAATATTTCATGAAAATAATCATGAAATATTTTTGACCCTTAGATTAGATATATAACAAGTTACAAACTGTAATACAAGGACAGAGATTTGTTTATGATCATTTTCATGAAGCATTTTTCATGATACTTAACATTTTCCTTGGTAAATACTGTAGGTATACACAAATCACATATTCTTGGGTTGATCATGTGTAGGATGCTGAAGAGTTCCAAACATCCAGTCCATCCATATTGTGAAGTGGCCATAGTTATGGCGGCATGTGATGTGATGGATGGTGTGGTAGCCAGCACCCATGACAGGCCAGAGTTTAGCGTGGATGCAATCGTGAATGTTGGTTGTCCATACGCCTTCCGCGAATAAGAGTAATATATGCATTTTCAAATGCGTTGGCACAAGGAAGAGTGCCATAACATGTGGTAATGCCTGCAATATCCCATCCAAGGGATGGAATGCCAAACCTAATACACAAAACATAAGATTGAAGCACCTAGTTATTAGTTTATTTAGATAGATATAAACTCAAAAACTTTCAACTATGAGGACACTCAAAATATAATGGAAACTAAATTCAGCATACTTTTTTTACCATATCTAAAATATAATAATTGACATGAATGAAATTTTTTCATTTTTATAATGAATCAATCATAATTTTCAAGCTTTTCTTGAGGATTGACTTTGCTAAGTAATGAGTTTGGGATTTTGGAAATATTGGTTTGTCCTCTTATAATTTGACTTATTACCAAAATTATGGAAACTAAAATGAGTATAGAAAGTATCACTTACCAGCAAATGGGGAGAGAGTATTTTGCTTGTTGTAGATGTGATGTGTTGCGTGACAATACTTATAGAGAAGTTTTATGTCATGCAATTTCCTGTGAATCCAGTAAATCCCGAATTCCACAATTACAAGATAAATCGTTAAGTAAACAACATAGGCGAGGCAACTGACATCGCTTATTGTTGGAAAACACCGTGTCCATCCATTTTCAACCATGTACTCGGAAACTGTAAGAAGAGCAGCATACCATGGCATAGCCTTCATTGAAACATATATCTGCAAGAGCATGGCTTTTGTTGAAGGCATGGCATCTGCAACAAGAGATTCGAAACACCTAATTTAATATGGAAAGAGATTTAAATAAATTATATCATGATTTGATATGGATGAATGCAATTATTGTGGTAAATAATCCAGCATTCTTTTATTTATTGATCAAGCCTATTATACAAAGATAATTTATCATTTTCTCAATAGCCAATTCCTTAAAAACAATCAAAGTTCCATCTTAATTTGGTACAAATAAACAATGCTATCTATAAGAAGATTTGATTTTGGCAAGTTTCATAAGGGAATAGAGATTATTATTATTATTTTGGGGGGATATGTAGGGTATCATAGGTCAAATTGGACATATCAGACTAAATACCTATAGTTTGAACAAGCTTTCTAAAATAAGATTTATGTCCTATAATTTGTGACCCTAAAAGTTTTTGTTGGTGAGTATAGTCGAACCTGAGACTTTAGAGAGAGTAAACCCCTAAGTCTTAGGCATCATCTACCATGTCAAACCCTTCGGATAGGAAATAGAGAAAGTTTGGGCAACAAATCATCAAGATTCAAGACGTACTCTCATGGAACTCTTACCAACTCAATGAGAAAAAAATTTCATATACATAAAGAAGATTGAAAAAGCTATTAACCAGAAATATAGACCCAAAATTTGTCTAGAAAAAATGTAAGGTTAAGATTAACTATGTACAATTTGGGGTCCTTGGCTTGAATAAATTTAGACCACAAGTTAATATCTCTTGATGAAATTTTGAGAAAAAATCTGAAACTGTAGTATTGCTGAAAGAAGATTAAAGATCGATATAGAAATATTGACGCAAAAAGAATAGAGGGTTAGGCACCAATAATGCACACAAAAACCCATCTCATTAAATGTAAAGTTAGCAACACAAAGAAACAAAAATTCATAAATTAAAATTAAAAAATAAACTCAATTTTAAAACTTTGCTTTAAAAAATATGAATAATGCATAAATTAAAAAATAAATCGACTGATTCAGACATTCATAATATATATACATATATGCATAAATATTTTATGCATATCTATCTATGTACAAAATCACATATTTTGAGATTTGAAGTTTATGAAAATCCCATTTAGTAATATATCAAAGATTTAGGTTTTTTTTTTTTATTTAAAAAAACTGCTGAATTGTTTAATACAGAGATGTGCTATTGCTGAATTGTCTTCAACTTGGAGGTGTGCTAATGCTGAGATGCTATACTGATGTGGGTGATGTTTTGTGGCTGCTAGTGTTTTACTTGTTTTGTTTCTGCTCTGTACGTTGGTTACTCACCAACTTGGAACTTGGAGTTGGTGCTAACAGATGATTTGGTGTGTGTCTAGGTGCCAACCTAGTTGGGATCTTGATGTTTTACTTTGATGCTCTTTGCACCCTCCTCTTTATTGATGTACGTTATTATACTTTGTATATTTTCTCCATCAATAAAACTTTCTTTTTGCCGATAAAAAAAAAAAAAATAGAGAAAAGAAAATATATTTTATTGCAAACATTTAATTAAAATGAAAATTTTGTATAAAAAAATATAAAAATTTAAAAGTTAGTTATAGATAACTCACACATTCATTTTTTTTTTTTGCAAGAAATAAAAAAATTAGTTACAATGCTAATATGAATTATACAAGAAAATTAGTTTTTTTTATACTTTCTACCACTATGCCTTGTTTGGCATATACTAAAAAAAAATCAAAAAGTCAAAAAGTCCCTATCCTATTTAAGTCACATCACCTCTTTATCACAATCACTTCAAACTCATCTCATAATCAACCCATATTTCATAAAAAATAAAAAAATACACTTATTTAGAACATCTCAAACCACCTCCTAAATAAACACATAAAAGTTAAGTTTTTTTTTTTTTTTCACTTTCTACCTATTTTATTTTAAACAAACTGAGTCTAAGGGATTAAACACGAGATTGAAATTGACATACTACAACCCAACCAATATCAAACTGGAATAAACATCAACAGTCAAAATAAAAACAACAGGGTAGCTGAAACGAGAGTGTCAATCAAAAACCATGCAGATTTTTCATAAATCCAATAGAAAACAGGAACGATCGAACTAAACAAAATATATATACATTTATATGTATATATCTGCATTTATAAGAAGAATGTACCTTTAGGAAGATAAACTTTGATCAAGTAATAAATGCAGAAACACCAGAGGAAACCAGATACGAAGTACATGAGGATTACTCCAATGTAGTTCCGGAGCCACGTCTGGAAGAAGTGAGGGACTGGTTCCCACACATTACTCGGCAAGAAAGCTCCCAGCACTGCACGATTGTACAATGATGTCTCCTCCACGAAGAGCAGCCGCTGCCCGTAATCTTCCATTCTAGGAGGAGAAGGACACGACAAAGAGGACGAGGATGAGGACGAGAAGCCGCTCAGAGAACTGGAAAGAGGGTGCGTCAGATTCCGCTGATACGAGAAAAACAGAGAATGAAGTGCTTTTTATATACACTGGTGGCGTGAGCAAGTTAAATAAATAAAATACTTGACATATATTGGTTATGGTCTCAAGTGATAAGAGCTTTTCTTGTCAAATTTGTTATCCTGAGTTCAAGTCCATTTTTTTTTTTTTGGGGGTAGATCACTGGACACTTGACATGAAGAGAGACAAAGTTTCAAGAAACTAATCTAAATGCTCACATATATAATAGTATAGATGAAAATAAGAGTATCATAGTCGTTGTCCTTTTTGTTTAAATTTAATTTCTATGGTGCCTCAATAACTTTTTTTTTTGTTATTAACTATATATTTTTTATTTGTTGAAATAATGAGATTTATAACTCCCAAGTATTCATAAATTTCCCTAGCCTTAGACATGAATCTAAAAATTTGAAATGAATTATAAATTTAGACTCTAATTTCTAATCCATTTATTACTTAAAATTGGAATTCAAGCTAGGGTATCAACCTTCTCTTCATAAAAATTGAATACAAAACCTGACAACACAAAAATGTTAAACAACCATTAGGTCAAATGCTCTAATTTCAAACCATTCATAATCATTAAAAAATATTATATGAATTAAAAAAACCCTACAAACTTTTTGTTATTTACCGTAATAAAATTGTGCAATTCGGAAAAAAAAAAATTACTACAATAATATAAACTTTAGTTAGAAACCAAAAAATTTAAAAACTTTATTTATGTGTATAGCATTACCCTTTGTGGGGACACGCGGCCAAGGTGGCACTGAAGTGCCAGCTGAGGTGCCACGTGTCCTGGTCATGGCGCCGAGGTGATTTCGGCTAGGCCGAGATTATTTGCGAAGATAGCGAAATCCGAGATGAACGGATAAGGGACAAGAGTCCTAGAATGAGAGAGGACCTCAGCCTGGATAAGGATAAAACTCTTAGGGAGTTTATCTTTATCTATTGGAGAGTCTAGGATGAGCATTGAACCAGAGTCCAAGAGAAGCTAGACTTCTATCGGAATCAGGTTAGTGCTGGTTATAAAAGTAAGGCACCCTCGTGGGTCTAAGGTACGCTTTTGGTATTCTGGCTTGTGAGTTAAGCATAATTGGTTATCTTTGAGAGATATTGATTACTGACTTGATCGTCGGAGTGCCCCCGAGTGGAAGAACCATCGTCGGAGTCTTTTCTTTCTGTGACAGGTCGTTCGGGTGCAATCTATTTTGTCGGTGTTCTCCAGCTGAGTACTTGTTTGGCAGTGTGGTCAGAAAACAACACGCACAATTTGGCGCTGTCTGTGGGAAAGAAAGGAGAATAGATGGCTAACGACGGACAGAAAGAGAAAATTGGGGACGACATCCCTACTGGAAGTGGTAAACACTTTGATTCCAATGTAGAGGAGGATAACTGCAATGAAGAAACTCGGGAACAGAACCCCGGAGAGAAGGACGTCGGTCAGGAGGGGGACGTACCAAAGAAGACAGACCAATGCGGGTATTATAACGAGAATGACCTCCAGATATGGAAAGATAGATGCCTGCGAAGGGACGGAGAGATGAAGGGAATGACGAATAAATTGGCGGACCTACAATCAGTCGTCAATTTTATGATGCAGAACAGCGTCATGCAGCCACCGTTTCCGTTACAAGATACGCCGATTCTAATGGCCAATAACAATGCCCAGAAAAGGGGGCAGAAAACAGTCCCTACAGTCCCCCAGCACACTAGGACCAAGGAACACTCTCACCGGCCTTCAAGGGAGGTTAGGCGAGGAGAGTCAATGAAGGGCGATTCTTGGAGGACGCATAAGAAGCTGACCCCAAAGAACATTGGTATGTTCAAGGGAAGGAACTTTGTTTCGACGCAACTAATGGAGAGAGATCCAAGAGGACTCATAACGACATCGGGAGTAGCGCACCAAAAAGGTTGAAATCCGTTGATAGCCGAGCTCCTGGACGGACCAAGGAGGATTTGAGGGATTACCTCCAGAGGAAGCGGCAAGATGCTGAGGTAACCTCTCCGGTCAAGCCGAGAACGCCGTTCTCGGTAAAGTTGGACAAATTTAAGGCCCCGAAAAGGTTCCACACGCCGAGGTTCCAGATATACGACGGTAAGTCTGACCTTAACTTTCACGTCAGCTTGTACCTAAACTCATTGGCACTGTACACCGGGAACGAGCCGTTGCTTTGCAAAGTGTTTCCCTCATTCTTTGGGGAAATCACATCAAACTGGTTTCATAAGTTGCTGAAAAGAACTGTGAAAAGTTGGGAAAGCCTGGCTGAGATGTTCGTGGCCAGGTTTGTGACAAACAAACTACAGCCGTTGTGGGTGGACTCCCTGATGGCTTTGAGGATAGGTGAGGATGAAAGCCTCAGGGCTTATGTCAAAAGGTATTATGAGGCATTCAACTGGATACCAGGATGTAACCAAGAGGTTGTGGTAGTGTCTTTTAAGAACAGCTTGAAAGATGATTGTCTGCTTCAAAAATTACTGACAAAGACACTACCAAAAAGTATGGCGAAACTTATGGCCAGGATAGAAAAGTATGCTACGGTCGAGGAGGACACGTCGAGGACAAAGGCATCAAAACAATAGAAGAGAAACAGCTTACTGAGGCGAGGCCGAGGTAATGGTGGATACAATAAACAAGAGATAGGATTAAGGGCTACACAGGCAGTTACAACCGTATTTCGAATTTCGGTCTACAAAGTCTTGGAAAGAATCCAGAATCAGCCCTATTATAGAGCACCAGAGAGGATTCATGGTGAATTTATGGAAAGAAGTCTGAGAAAACGTTGTGCCTATCACAATGAGAATGAGCATCTAACTCAAGGGTGCAGAGCCCTAAAGGCACATCTGGAGGACCTAGTAAGACAAGGTCATCTAAAGGACCTGGTAGATGAGACCAGGACAAGGGAAGAGCAAGCAAGACTGCCTCAGGCACCGGCAACACCGCCTTCACCAGCACTACAACCGCAAACAGGCGGACCTCGAGTGATCAATGTGATTCACTCGAAGGTCAATGAGAACGAGATACATGGGGAAACTCAGAAAGTAAAACACTTGCAACATGTGTATCAGGTCCGGCAGAAGAGACCTAGGGCAGACGAGTGCCAGAGACTAGTGGTGTCCTTTACTAAAGATGACCTAGAGATGGTGCAGTATCCACACAACAATGCCTTGGTAGTATCCCTCAAGATTGGAGAGTGCCAGGTAAAATGAATTCTGATCGACCAGGGCAACTTTTGTGACATCATGTATGTCAGGTGTTATAAGAAGCTTCACCAAGATGATCTGGAACAATCCAATGGTCTAATGGTTGGGTTCAACGGAATGCTGACGTGGCCCCTGGGAGCAGTAAGTTTGGAGGTGCAGGCTGGCACCAAGAAGGTAAAAATTGAGTTCACCATAATTGATACCCCCTCCTCTTACAATGTTATCCTGGGAAGGCCATGGCTGCATGCAATGGGGGCTGTTCCCTCAACTTTACACCAGTTGTTGTGGTTCCCAACAGAACATGGAATTAAGGAGGTCAGAGGAGATCGAGTGCAAGCAAAGAATTGCTCCATGGCAGCAATGAAATCCACCTACAGCATACGAGAAGCAGAGCAGCAGAGATTAAAGATGAGGACATAGAGGTCTTTGAGGACGTCGACAAAGAACCAGCCGAGAAAAGTGAGGAAGCCCTGAAGAAGATCTTGGTCCAGCAAAGCGATGAAGAGTGCTTCTTCCTTCTCGGCTCAGGCTTGGCCGAGGAAGAAGAAAAGAAACTAGAGGCGTTCTTGAGAGCAAACATTGAGGTGTTTTCTTGGACACCATACGAGATGTCTAGTATTGACCCCGAGGTCACTTGCCATAGACTGAACGTGGACAGGTTGGCCAAACCTGTCATCCAGTGAGCAAAGAGGCCTACGTTAATGTATGTTGAGGCAGTAGAAGAGGAAGTGGGTAAACTTCTAGAGGCCAGAGCCATTCGAGAGGTAAACTACCCAACATGGTTATCAAACACGGTTGTTGTGAACAAAAAGAATGGAAAGTGGAGGGTTTGTGTAGACTTCACCAGCCTGAACAAAGCTTATCCCAAAGACAGTTTCCCACTGCCCAAGATTGATCAATTGGTGGATGCCACTTCAGGGCATGGAAGGATGAGCTTCCTGAACGCTTATAGAGGGTACCGTCAGATAGCCATGTACCCTCCAGATGAGGAGAAAATTGCATTTATCCCCCCAAAAGGGCTGTATTGCTACAGAGTGATGCCTTTTGGGTTGAAAAATACAGGAGCAACTTACCAGAGATTGGTGACTAAGATGTTCAAACATCTAATAGGCAAAACAGTGGAGGTATACATTGATGACATGGTCGTGAAGACCAAGGAACCTGAGGATTATCTGGCTGACCTGAAGATAATCTTTGATATCCTAAGGACATTTCGGTTCCGACTCAATACATCGAAGTGTGCATTTGGAGTTGGGTCAGGGAAGTTCCTGGGATACTTGGTCACTAGAAAGGACATTGAGGCAAGCCCGGATCAAATCAAAGTCATATTGGAGTTAAAGAGCCCAACATCGGCAAAACAAATACAGATGTTGACTGGAAGGGTTGCAGCCCTAAATAGATTCATAAGCAAAAGTTCTGACAAATGCAAACCTTTCTTCAATATAGTGAAGAAAGCCACAGACTTCTTATGGACAGAAGAGTGCGAAGTCGCCTTGGCCGACTTGAAGAGATACTTGACCACCGCTCTAGTTCTCTCAAATCCAGTACCTGGAGAGGAGCTGTTCTCATACTTGGCGGTTTCAGAATATGCAGTAAGTGCAATGGTAATCAGGGAAAAAAATGGAGAATAAAGGGCAGTCTAATACGTGAGTAAAACCTTAGCAGATGTAGAGACCAGATACCTACCCTTGGAGAAGTTGACACTGGCTTTAGTAATGGCCCCCAAGAAGCTGAATCATTACTTTCAAACCCACAAGATTGTGGTGTTAAC